GTCCATGATGCTCACTTTCATTTGCATCTCCAAAACGAAATCAGAAGGACTCACATCTGCTGGTATGTGTAAGGCCACAGAACACTTAACTGCGGCATCCCAAGGTTGAACTCTAAGGACTACATAAATGTCCACATATAATCATTGACTAAGTGAACGGATGGCTCTGCTATAATGCTTAACTAAAAATCAGAAACGTATCATTCCATAAATTTCTTTTTTTTAACTTTTATTTAATGAATATAAATTTCCAAAGTACAGCTTATGGATTACAATGATTTCCCCCCCATAACTTCCCTCCCACCGGCAACCCTCCCTTTTCCCTCTCCCTCCCCCCTTCCATTCACATCAAGATTCATTTTTAATTCTCTTTATATACAGAAGATCAGTTTAGCATATATTAAGTAAAGACTTCAACAGTTTGCACCCACATAGAAACACAAAGTGAAAAATACTGTTTGAGTACTAGTTATAGCATTAAATCACAATGTACAGCACATTAAGGACAGAGATCCTACATGAGGAGTAAGTGCACAGTGACTCCTGTTGTTGACTTAACAAATTGACACTCTTGTTTATGGCATCAGTAATCACCCTAGGCTCTTGTCATGAGCTTCCAAGGCTATGGAAGCCTTTTGAGTTCTCCGACTCTGATCATATTTAGACAAGGTCGTAGTCAAAGTGGAGGTTCTCTCCTCCCTTCAGAGAAAGGTACCTCCTTCTTTGATGACCTGTAAATTTCAATGCTGAAAAGTAAAGGTAAATGTGGAAAAGGGATTTTTTCCCTGTAATCTTTTGCCTATTGTCTCCATAATAACGTTAGTGAATCTCTCCATATTCCAGAGGGTATGTGTCAACAATTCAGCTATCACAGTATACAGTATTCATTTATGTCTCAGATGATTTTGTATAGATATGAATATGTTTTTACCCTTCAGTTAAATTTGAATAACTCCAAAACCTTTATCATTTGTTCAAGCAGTATCACTGTTTCATTTGGGAAGAATTTGCTAATAAATGACGTTCGTACAGAAGCTTTCAAATGGTTCCATAAAGAGTTTTCTCCATAGTTTCTAATGCCAGACCTATGAATAGAGTGCTTTTTAGAGGTAAGGATGAGTTGTGAGTGATTTCAAGGTAAAACTATACTTGATATCATATTTGCATTATCACACATGGTAATATATAGCCTAGCTCCATGTTATTGTATTCAGAAATCCCACAGTAAAATCAGATGTGGGAGTGTAAATCTCCAAAGAACCAATTTGGTGTGACTGAAGGTTTATGCCCCCCTACTAAATGCTTATGCTGAAGCCCTAGCCCCCCATGTCATAGTACTTAGAGACGGGGCCTTCTGGAGGCAACTATGTTGAGACAAGGCCATGAGGATGGGGCCCTCATGATAGGATTGGTGCCCTTATTAGAAAAGACACCAGAAAAAAGAATTATGGTTTTGCAAAAACTGATGAAGAGTGGAGAGGGAGAGGGAGGATTGTAGGGAAGTAGGGGTTGAGGGAAGTGTGCTTGTCTTTTTGGAACTGTACCTATGGAATGCATAGAATCTGTCCTCTTTACATTAAAAAAAGTAAAGAAAAAAAAGGCACCAGAAAGCCTGGTTGCTCTTTGCCTCTGCCACGTGAACCTGCATTCAGGGTAGCCAGCGCAAGCCAGAACATGACAATGCTGGTACCCTAACCTCACTCTTCCAGCTTCTAGAACTGGGGAAAAGAAGTTTCTGTTGCTGAAGCCACCCAATGGCATTTTGTTATGGCAGCACGATCGAAGACACTTAGAACACCTATTTAGCTAACTTGACTTAGCACGCTTCCTAAGGCGCTCATCTAGCCACAACTTTGATTGCCTGAGCAGAAACTGAATTGGGAATTTCTTGATGTAAGTAAGGGAGGAGTCATCCTGATGTGGGGTCCTTGGTGCAGAGGAAGAACACTGCTTTTATTTTCCCCCGTATTTCTTTTTAAAATTAATTTTTTCAGTTATTTACTTAAGATAAAGAGAACAGATTTAATGTACTTCATAGATACAATTCTAAAAATATATTTCCCTTTCTCCATCTGTCTCCCCCTCTTTCTTTAATTTTTGAGATAACATATTTTTAATTTACATTATTGTCAATGGCTTAGTGCTCCACTAAATAAAGAGTTCAACAAGTAAAAGGTAAAAAGACCCTAATTCAGCAGGCATATAGGCAAGGACTGCAAACAATAATCAAATGAAAAGATACTAATTTCACTCATACACAATAAATTTTAAAAATAATCCGATACTTAAAACTATAGTAGCATATCATTCTTAACCATTTTTTTGACAAAGATAAAACAAAATTTCACAAAACTATATTTTCAGCAACACTGATACAAACAAGCACTTCTTTAATTTTTTAAATTTTAGCTCCCACATGTAAGGAACAGCACCTAGTATTTGTCTTTCTGTGTCCAGTGATTTCACTCTGTTTCCTTCCACACATGGTTAGCATGTGGGTGTGTTTTCTATCACTAATGCACTTTTATCCCGGGAAAGTGGCATCCACATCTGGAAAACTTACATTTAGACTCAGTGCCCTAAGCAGGATGGATCCTGAAATATCTGGGCTTGAAGAACATAGTACCTTGAATTTTCATGGTGTTCCAAGATGGAGGAGAGCGAGAGCTGTATGGATAGAAACAAGTAAGCCAGGTGTGATGTCTACGCTGAGCAGAGACTACCTACATATGGGGAATTCTCTAAAGATGGAAGTCATACCTCACTTGGGCAAATCTCAGATCTTGACATTTCATTCTGTAAATAAAAAGAAGCCAGATAAAAACTAACCAGGTGAGGTAGGAGCCAGCTGGGTTGTGTGGAACATCTGTGAAGCACAGAGCTGGCTACCTGCCCGGGTTCTCCATTACCCTCGCAGCATTGAGTTCCTTCTCTCCCTCCTGTTCTCCGGGCAAGGACACCTGAAACAGGCCTTACTTCATTTTGTTTCAGCCATCCTGATTTACTTCCTGCCATACAACTGGAAAGGCAATGACTGATCAGATTCTCATGTGAAGTCTGCTATTCTTAGGAGAATAATCCAAACTTCAGGTTCTTGCACAAACTCTCTCACTCTTGGTGGCCACTGGTCCGTAGAGGGATTTGAAGCCAGCTTCTTCAGCCTCACTTTTGGATTTCTTCCACTCCCAGACTTTGTCCCAAAAGATGTGTCAATAGCTTGTTATATTTTCAGCTCCTAAAACATTTTCTTGATTACTGCCTTCCACATCCTCCCAGTATTTTCAGTCAGTTGGTACTAAAGTAGAAGAGAGATGACAAGCATTCATGTCCTAGCTCTGTAAGCCATGACTCCCTGACTTTGGGCATAGTACTGAACCTCTCTAAGTAAATTTCCTTTTCAGTCAAATGTGAATGACTTCCAACTTTAGTAGTCATTCATTCATTCATACAACACACATGAATATGTATGGTCATCTACTCTGTTTCAGGTACTGTTTCAGGCACTAAGGGTATAGTGGTAAATACACAGACAAAACCCATGTCCCCATAGAACTTATAATAAGAGATATGAATAGCAAGAAAACAAAAAAAGATAAAGCAGAATAGAAAATACTAGTAAGTACAAAGGGGGAAAATAGTACAGCACAGCAGTAGAGAGTGAGTGGTAGATTGTTAGGTACAAGTGAGCAGACCTCATTTAGCTAGGTGATCACAGAAGACCGCTCTGAGGAGGGGACATTTGAGCAAAGACTTGAATGATGTGAGAAATCAAAGATCTGCATGTGGATAGAGGCAGTGCTTTCTAAGTAAACACACTGCAAGAATAAAAGGCCTACAGTGGATACACGCTAGGGATAGTGAAGGAGCAGCAAAGGACAAGGACGATCATAGCAGCATTCCCTGGAGATTTCTCTCATCTATGACTTAAGAGACCACACAGATTTATTTAAGATTAGAAACTGTCAAAGCTTTAGAGCATTTATAGGAAACATAAATTACCTGCAGGCTAAAACATCCAATATTTGGGGCAGCAAAATAGTAACAGAAAACCAGAGTGTCATCATTGGATCTACCTTTCAATACTTTGGAATGGACAAGACTTTGCACCCGAATACAGAAATAATATTTACTGCTCTAGGGAGTACTTTGAGTTTGGCAGATTTACCCCTGCTCTTTTGTGTGATGAAGAGATCAATTCTCACACTCTCCTACTTGTGTGTCTTTCCCTCTGATTTATCTCTTTCTCAAGAAAGTTCTGGTTACTGCTTAGAAAACTAGGATGGGGGGAAAGAGCCAGCCCTCGGGGCCTGGCATCCTGGTTGCTGGGCTAAGGCTCTGATTCCAAACTTGATTCTCTGGTTTTGGCCAAGGAGCTGAACAGCATGAGTTCTGTTGCTGTCCTGTTTCTTGAGCCATTTTTGTCCAGATTTCATGGTTTCATTTCTTTGGTTCCACTGCCAAGGTGCGTATGTGGTTCACAGATTTGTGTCCCAGTTATAGAGGTCTTAACTGCAAGATCTTAAAGTTAAAAAATCAGCCCCCAAATAAATAGTGGTTGATGGTGATTAATGTCTTCATAATGGGTCTGCTCTTTTTCACATGTCATCTGGCTTCAGCAGTGAAGGTCATTATATACATATCAACATTTATTAACAAAATAAGCTTGATTCCATTTCATCTCTCTTCCCAGTGCCTTATATATGTTACTGAATTTGATCCTCCTTAATATAATACTTACCATAGGAAACTGGGTCACAAAAACCCTACAACTTGTCCATGATCATACAAAAAGTACTTCAACCAGGCATCAAACCACAGCCTTTCTAGTTCCAAAGTCTGAACTCCTAGTCATATTGCTTACTTGCCTCGCAAACATTACCTGTCTTACAAATTCAGTTCAAAAGTCTACTGTCTACTGAGCTTTCTCTCTTCAGGTATAAACACTTTAATACAGACTACATACTTACCATTCTGAGTTCTTATTTTGCGTCAAGCTCTGTGCTTAGTGCTGTATGTATGTAACCCTTATAAAATGAGGCTGCCTCCTGGCCAGGCAATAAAATGGTTTTATTCTAATCCTATACTAGAAAATTAAATCTTAGTTTTAGTCTTTGTTATATTACCCCTCAAACTCCGGAAGGAGAACTGCATCCAAAACACAGACCAGCAGTTCTTAGAATCCTTCTCTCCCTCCTTCCCCATCACTCCATGAACTGCCCATACCTCCTGAGCCTACGAAACAATGCATTAGAGCTGCATCCAGTCCCAGTTCTTTCAGACTTCTAAAAACCACTCCCCAGTACTCACTCCAGGCTGTTTCCTCCTCTTTCCCTCCATCCATCTTTCTTTCCAAATCCAGTTGTTTCTTCCCTAGAGGAGCTTTGTGTTCTTTGCAGTGTCAATCAGTCCACTCAGTTTTCAGTATCTTTCACCTTGGTGGTTCTACATAGCCAACAGAAGGAAAGCTGAATCAACTGATATCACAGAGGCAGTAATCCTATCAAAAAGGCATTACTTTCTTAGGAGAAAAGGCAATAGCAATGGCCATCCATATTCTTATACTTTGCTCATATGATGTACATTTTCTCAATTTATCATCATCACTCTGAGATAAGTTTAAACTGTTGCTATTTTAAGATGAAAATTTGAGGAACAGAAAAGGTTAACTCCCCTACATAATAGGATAGGATAATTGAATACAGATCTAGAATTTTAAGCCACTCTGAGTAAATAAAGCCCTTGAGTTTAGCCAAACCAACTGTTGAACAGGTTGCCTAATTCCTTCAACCTCCCTTAAGGGTACCAGTGTCTTCAACGGAAGGTTTAGCAAACAATAGCCCATGAACCAAATCCAGCCTACAATCTATTTTTGTAAATAATGTTTTATTGGAATATAATCACACTTATTAATTTACATGCATCTACGGCTGTTTTTGTATTACAAAAGCAGAGTTGAAGAGTCATGACAGACTATATGACCCACAAAACCTAATAAAGCTACTATATGGTGCTTCACAGAAAAAAACTTGCTGACATCTGCACCAGAAGACCCTCAAATCACCTCTAACAGTTCATCAGAAATGTCAATTCACCAAGAATAATTTTTCAATTATTTACATTTACAATACTATATTTACAAATTTTCCAAGAATGAATTTGTCTCATCTGTTTATATGATTTAAAATGACTTACATTGGATAAAATAATTTAACAGATATTGAATCTTTCTGCAAAGGTTTAATTGCTTGGCTTCAATTTTGTATTCCTAATTAACATGTTAATTATTTTCAGTTTTTCATTGCACTTTCTTCCTGCTGAATTAGCTGGAGAGTTCTGGGGCAGAAAATGGGGACCCTGAGCCTGGGGAAAGGCAGAGAAAAGAGTCAGCTTAGAGCACAAGCTGGGCTGCTTTCCAGAGAAGGGAACCTGAGAGAGAAAGAACAAGAGCAAGATGAGAAGAGACTCTGAGCCTGTGGGAGAGTGTGACATCAATAATTTCTGGATTCCTAGCTCCTCACAGCCTTAAGAGCCCTGCCATTCCATCTAATACTAATTGCTGTCAACCTATAATTTGTTTTAAAGTAATTTGTTAAGTTGATCATTTTGTGAAATCCATTGAATGTTCAATGTATCATATTTATTGACTGAAATTGGGTTCAGGAAAATCTTTTCTTGGTCAACAAATTCATCAATAAATGTTTATGAAGCATCTACTATTGCCAGGTACTCTTGGGATTTAATAGTGAAAACAAAATAAAGATCCTTATACTTATCTTAAGTTATATCCCAGCAAGGGGAGACATAAAATAAACAGTATCTATATAATAATGAAATTGTATAGTGCCTTAGAATGAGATAAGGGGAGGAGGAAGAAAAAGAGTTGAGAGTGTAAAGGAAATTGAGGATACAAATAGAGGGATACAATTTTAAACAGTGTGGTCATGGTAGGAGTCACCGAGATGACAATATTTCACAAAGACTTGATGGAGTGAGGCGAAAGGTACATAGATACCTAGGAAAGTACATTCCAGGAAAAATGAGCTGTCAGTGCAAAAACTTTAATGGGAAATCAACAATGAGAATGGTGTGTCTTATATAATAAATGAAAGGAAAATTAGTACATGAGGTCACAGTAACTGTGATGGATGGGAAATGTAAGCCATTGTTGATCATTGGAAAGATTCCAGCTTATGTGCAGTGAAACGTGGGCCATGAAAGGTCTTGAACAGAAAAGCCACCTGATATCATCTATGTTTTTAAAAGCTGAGCCGGCGCCGTGGCTCAATAGGCTAATCCTCCACCTTGCGGCGCCGGCACACCGGGTTCTAGTCCCGGTCGGGGCACCGGATTCTGTCCCGGTTGCCCCTCTTCCAGGCCAGCTCTCTGCTGTGGCCAGGGAGTGCAGTGGAGGATGGCCCAGGTGCTTGGGCCCTGCATCCCATGGGAGACCAGGAAAAGCACCTGGCTCCTGGCTCCTGCCATCGGATCAGCGCGGTGCGCCGGCTGCAGCGGCGGCCATTGGAGGGTGAACCAACGGCAAAGGAAGACCTTTCTCTCTGTCTCTCTCTCACTGTCCACTCTGCCTGTCAAAAAAAAAAAAAAAAAAGCTTATTGCAGTTGCCTTGTTGATGATAGACTCTAGGAGAGTATGGGAGGGAACAGAGATGCCAGTTAAGAGGCTATTGAAGTTATCAAAATAAAAGATGATGGAGACTAATACCATACCTGAGAGTTGAGAGATGAGAAACAGTCCATTTCTGTACATTGAAGTAGAGCCAATAGGATTTCCAGATGGATTTAATGGGGGATTTTTATTCAAGATGGAGACTTAGTGGTTTGATAAATGATACTTCAATGAAGGTGGTTAAAATTTTTTTTGCATAGCAACCAGAATGATGGAATTATCAGCCAACATGACCATGAGAAATATTATATGTAGAATAGTTTAATATAGACATCTATGAGACATCAAGATAGAGTTATTGAATAAACACTGGATATATGAGTGTAGAGTTAATGCAAAGTTTTGGCTGGAAATAAAAATTTCACTGTATTGATTGAAATACAGCTCCTGGAAATTCTTTAATAAACTGCAAATTCTTTAAAACAATTTTTAGATCTATAAGTGAACAGATTTCATGTATTTCATATATACACATTTAAGAGTATAATGATACTTCTCAACTTACCCTTCCCCTCCCACCAATGCCTCCACCCTCCTTCACCTTTTCTTATTTTTTAATTTTTACAATGACATACTTTCAGTTTATAATCTCAAGCTTAACTCTCCACTGCATAAAGAATTCAACAAGTAGTAAGCAGAAAAGCCACTGTTCCTCAAGAGTATACACAAGGGCTGTAAACAATAATCAGATTTCAAAAGTCAATTTTGTTCATTTTGTTTGTGTAAATTCCCAGGAGTAGGATGACTCAGTCATATGGTAGGTCTATTTTCAGATTTCTGAGGTATCTCCACACTGTCTTCCACAATGGCTGTACCAGTTTACACTCCCACCAACAGTGGATTAGGGTACCTTTTCCCCACATCTTCTCCAGCATTTGTTGTTTGTTGATTTCTGTAGGAGAGTCATTCTAACTGGGGTGAGGTGGAACCTCATTGTGGTTTTGATTTGCATTTCCCTGACAGCTAATGACTCTGAGCATTTTTTCATGTGTCTATTGGCAATTTGAATTTCCTCTTTTGAAAAATGTGTGTTCAAGTTCTTTGCCCATTTCTTGACTGGATTGTTTGTTTTGTTGTTGTTGAATTTCTTGAGCTCTTCATAGATCCTAGATATTAATCCTTTATCAATTGCATAGTTTGCAAGTATTTTTCTTCCATTCTGTCAGTTGCCTCTTGACTTTGTTAAGTTTTTCCTTTGCAATGCAAAAGCCTCTAAGCTTGATGTAATACCATTTGTCTATTTTAGCTTTTATCACTTGTGCTTCTGGGGTCTTTTTCAAGTAGTCCTTGTGTATGTCAATGACTTGCAGAGTTTCCCCAATGTTCTCCTCCAGGAATTTGATGGTATCAAGTCACAGATTTAGATCCTTGATCCATTTTGAGTTGATTTTTGTATAAGTTATAAGGTAGGGGTGTTGCTTCATACTTCTGCATGTGTAGATCCAATTTTCCCTGCATCATTTATTGAAGAGAGTATTCTTTCTCCAAGGATTGATTTTAGCTCATTCGTCAAAGATTAGCTGCTTGTAGATGTGTGGATTAATTTCTGGGGTTTCTATTCTGTTTCCTTGGTCTACATATCTATTTTTGTTCCAGTACCAGGTTGTTTGATTATAACTGCCCTGTAGTATTTATGCCTCTAGCTTTGTCTTTAAACTGTAAATTCTTTGATGATATGATTCAGTCTCATTCATCATTTTATCGCTAGCCCTTATCCATTGTGCTCCTGGCACCACATTAACTCTGTATTTTACTGACGTTCAAAGATGCTACAGGAATGAGTGAACAAATGGGCACATACTTTTGTGAAACCAATTTATGCACTTTGAGAACAGAAAATTTTCCTTTTGTATGAAAGAGATCTCAAATTGTTCTATTTATTTTAATGATATTTAGGAAGCTTACATATTCAAGCAGGCTGTATGATAAAGGATCAAATATGATCTTCATAGTTGGCAGTATGCTGTCTTTGCCATCATTTTAGTTGCATGAGTAGATAATAAATGCATTGACTGATTTCTTGCTATGCTTGCTTTAAGAATATTAGTCAAAAAAAAGTTGTCAACTTCTGGACAACTCAGATTATCAAACTGAATTTCATTATAATAATACTAAAGGCAGAAATATTCATCCATTAGAGAAAAAAAATCTACAGTTAACAAACTAAGCCAAGAGAAAAGTAATTCCAGGAAGTAGATAACTTTATTATAACAATTTAAATGCAGAAAAGATTTGTCAATATCATCCACAAGGTCATAGAAGAAATCAAAAGGGAAATCAAAAGATTTCTGGAAATGAGGATAACAATATAACATATCAAAACTTATGGGATATAGCAAACAAAACTTATATGAACTTTCAAACTTTCAAACTATAGAAGTTTAGGTGCACATGATTTACAAAAAAGAAAGAAAAGGTTGATTTTCTAAATGGCTAATACATTTACATGAATGCCCATATAAGGCACCTTTATTTTTAAAATTTTTATTTTAATTTATTTATAAAGGGGAGGGAGATGGAGAGGAAGAGGGAGAGAAGAGAGATTTGTCATCCGCTGGTTTACTCCCCCAAATGCCCACAACAGAGCTTGGCCAGGTCAAGGCCAGGAACCCAGAACTCAATCGAGGTCTCTCACATTTGTGGCAGGGAGCCAAGTACTTGAACCCTCATCTGCTGTCTCACTTAGGAAAATGGATGCAAAAAGGCAGTGTAGCAAGAAATTTAGCAAGACACTGACAAACAGTAAGTTATGACCAAG